GCTTCTGCATTAGCATAATGCCCCTCCTCAATTGTATTAGCCAAACCTTGGCACCCTATTTAAGCTCTCTCACCTCCACACGTGGGGCTGTCTCCATCTTGAAGGCAGCCCCAGGCTGCCCTCCACTTTGAGCGCAGCCCAGTAGATTCTTTTCCTTTAATAAAGCTTGATTGGCTCCTGGCGTCTCAGCTCACTTTCTTTCAACCACTTTTGGGACTTGGGAGGTAAGATGAGACCTAAGGGTTGTCTGCAGAGGGCTTAGCTTGGGCAGGTTTGAAGTGCGTTTATGCATGCCAGCCAGCTTGGCCATGGGCATTTGGGGAAGAATATGTCTTCCTTTTGCACTGGCTCCTCTTCTCTCTTAAAGATTCTTAGAGTCCTAAGTTATCTCCTTGATTTTACTCTTGCCCTCCTAATTCTCTGCTGAGCAGAAGGCATTATTTTAAATAAATCAGGTCAGTTCCTTGCTCAAAGTCCTCTACTGGATTCCCTATCTTGCCCTTCAAGGCTCTCTGTGAACTGGCCCTGTCTCCAGACCTCTCCCCCTAGCCCCAACCTCCCCTCCCCTCCCAGTTCTAGTTTTCTTGGCTGTTGCGCTTTGAATGTCCCAAGCATACTTCTGCCTCTGGTCCTTTCACTGATCATCCTTCCTCCTGAGTTGGAAATTTCTTTATTCAGACATTTGGATGGCCGTCTTGCCCACCTTGTTCAGGTCTCTGCTCAGAGAGTCCCTCCCCCGAAGAGTCTTCTCCCTGTGCCGCCATGCTCTAGACCTTGCTTTAGCGCTTATAAATTTCAGCATACACTGACTAATGTGTTCATCATCTGTCTTCCTCACTACGACTTTGTCTATCCAGTTGACTGCTACTCATGGCATCTCAAATAGAGCAGATTCTCAGTCTTAGAATTTGAGTGAACTGATTTTACAGATGGAGAAACTGAGGTCCAGAGAGGAGAAGGCAGGTCATTAGCAGAAGCAAGACTCGAGAACAAGTTTTCTAACAAATCTGTGAAACGTCATCAGCACCCAGCTCTTTCCCCCAAATTACATAAAAACCAGGCTCTTTTCTAATACAAAGTCCTCATTTTGAGAAAGGGACAGCATTCTAACATAACAGTGCACTCTAGCTTGCTTTTTATTTCCTCAAACTTAACCTCACTGATTATCAGGGATGGAAGGAACCACAAAGGTGACCAGCCACACTTTGTTTTTGCAGATGAAGAAACCAAGGCTCAGAGAAGATGTCTTGCAGCTGGTAGTGGCAGAGCCAAATGAGAGCCCGGGTCTCCTGATTCCCAGTGCAGACACTTTCTCCTTCTCTGCTTTGGTTAATATTGAATGTTTATGTCTGCTCACAGATTTTATTGTTTCTTATTAAAGCAAGTTTCTGCTCCTCACACTGGCAGGTAGTCACCCCAAAATGTACCTTTCACAGAGGACATAGGAAATCATCTCCTGGCGAGGAGAACTGCATAAGAAAGAGGTCTGCATGCCTTGTAGAGGCACACGTATCCTGGCTGCAGTCTGCTCAGCCAGTTACCTCTCGCTCTCTGCATCAGTGAAGGGTGAAACATTCAGAAGTGAAGCAACATTCTCCCTTTGACCATGGCTAATTCCTGCCTGTGTGCCCTTGTGCAGAACCCCTGTGTTCTCAGGACCTCAGTATCCTTCTCCGTGAGGTTAGAGTAGCATGCCCTGAAGTGTTCAATGAGAAAGAGCTTTGTGAACCACAGAGGGCTGTGTTAACTATGGGGGAGAGAATTCCTGGGGACTTTGGTTTGGGAAATAGGGTCCCCAGTACAACAACAGACCACTTTCCCCTCCTAGCTTTTGAGACTTGGGAGAAAGTCTCTGACAATTAGCTGCAGAGAGCTCAGGTTGGGGAAGTTTGAAGTGCTTTTATGCTAAGTAAATCTTTATGATAAAATTGGCCATGGGAGATTTAAGGGAGAATTTGTGTCCTCTTTTGTCCTGGATCCTCTTCTCTTTTAAATGGTTCTTAGACTTGTAACAGTCCAAGAGTTATAAAACAAAACAAAAGCAAAACCCAGAAGTCATCTCATGCAAACCTCAGCACTCCAGTAGGGGTATGAGGGAAGCAACTCAGTCTTTACTATTCCCAAGTAGGTACTTAAACTGCTAGAAATCATGAGTGTTTTTTAAATATTTTATTTTATTTTATTTTATTTTGTCAATATACAATGTGGTTGATTATTGTGGCCCATTGCCAAAACCTCCCTCTCCCCTCCCTCTCTCCCCTCCCTCCCAACAATGTCCTTTCTGTTCACTTGTCATATCAATTTCAAGGAATTGTAATTGTTATGTCTTCTTCCCCCCCTCCCCGTTTTTTTTTTTGTTGTTGTTGTTTATTAACTTATTTATTTTTAGCTCCCACAAATAAGTGAGAACATGTGGTATTTCTCTTTCTGTGCCTAACTTGTTTCACTTAATATAATTCTCCTTAGGTCCATCCATGTCATTGCAAATGGCATTATTTCATTCTTTTTTATAGCAGAGTTGTATTCCATTGTGTAGATAAACCACATTTTCTGTATCCACTCATCCGATGATGGACATTTGGGCTGGTTCCAACTCTTGGCTATTGTAAAGAGTGCTGCAATGAATGTTGGGGAACAGGTATATCTTCGACTTGATGATTTCCATTCTTCTGGGTATATTCCCAGCAGTGGGATAGCTGGGTCATATGGTAGATCTATCTGCAACTGTTTGAGGAACCTCCATACCATTTTGCAGTCCCTCCAACAATGTATGAGAGTTCCTTTAATCATGAGTATTTTTGGTGAGAAGTAGCTGAGAAGGAGGGAGGAAAAAGAAAGGGAGGGAGCCGAGAGAGAGAGAGAGAGAGAGAGAGAGAGAGAGAGATGTCTAGAGCAGAGTCCAGGATAGATATTGGCTGAACGGGATGAGAATGGAGAGAGCAGTGCAGAGAAGGCAGGAGCAGAGGCAGATGGAGCCAGACTGAAGTCAGAAAGTGAGGATAAGGAGTAGAGAGAGAAGACAGAAGAACTGAATGAGGAAGATGCTGAGAGACAAATTCTGAGAAAGATCAAGGAAAAGGAGAGAGAGAAGAGAGAGAAAAGTGTAGAGAGAGTGGATGGAGATGTGGAAGGATAGGAGCAGGCATCAGGGCAGGAGGTGGGTGGGAGGAAGAGATCCCAGAGCACAGAGCAAGATGGTGGAGGTACTCTTTATTCTTGGACTGGCTCCTTTTTAAAGATAAACTCTTCTTTTCTACTCCATGGGGCTGCCAAAAATCAAGTCCTGGGTAGAGGAGATATGAAATCATTTGGACATGCCTTGGGACATTTGGGCTGATGTAACTAGACTTTGATTTCCCAATCCTGGAAACATTCCAGGATACATAGAGAATTTAAAATGTATTTCACGGGGTTGGGTTCCAAGGCTGCCCATTCATTGTTCTCCCAGAATATTCTACACATGTGAGTGACCTTTTAATACCCCATTTTGTGCTTAGCATTGTCTGGACTTGCCAAGCCCTGGAAGCTATAATACTTCTTGCTGGGCATTCTTTCTTTGCCTTGGCTTACAGACACAAAAGGAAATAGCAACAATTATCCAAACCATTCAGAACACTTCCCAACCCCTCCTGCCCCTCAACACAGTGGTTTGGGCCTAAGTACTGAGAATATCCTAATACATGAAGTGTGACTGATGACAAGAGTGGCCAAGTTCCCCACTGTACTCGGTTTCTGGGGATACATCATGTCTTTTAAGCTAATATTGTCTTCCCTGAAGCGCATAAAATATCAGCCCTTTAAAGTCTGCAGAGATCGTCTTGTCTATGCCAAGAAATTAGTTGGCACACCCTTGACAATGAGCTATTTTGAAAAAAGCTGCCAGACCTCCGACCTGGACAGCAAACACTTAACCAGACCACAACCAGAATTCTAGGACAGCTTTTCTTAAACTTTGGGTTTAAGGGAGGAGGAAGGGCTGGATCTGTCTATGAGTCTACTGATCCTTTCCCCACACATAAACACACAATAATGGTCACATATGTTTAGGGGGTTCCTAGATTTTTAATGTCCAGACTGGGGGTTCCTTAGATAAACCTCCTTCTGCTGGCTAGGAATATGTTAGAAAAGTCAGAGAAGAAAGAACCCTGGTCTTGGAATGTGGAAGTCTGATGTTTGCTCCAACTGTGCAGTATGTGAGCCAGAGCAATTTATGCTCATTTCTAGACTTTAGTGATTCAAATTCTGTTTATTAGATATTTTTTTGAGATTGACTTCCAGCTCCAAGTTTCTAGGTACCAAAATGAAGTTTTTCTCTCTTTCTCTCTCCTCTCTCTCTCTGGTATTTTTTGTTACAATAAAAAGGCAGGTAGACCAGAAGTCTCTCAGTTGCTGAGAAAGAGGGAGGGTGGGTAAGTCAAAGGTATTTTCTCTCCCAATACAGAGAAAAGTGAAATTCTTTTAGAGCCCTACTTCATCTTTACTAGACTTTTCACAGAGATAATGATGGAAGAGGAGATGGTTCAGTCCCTCTAACATTCATATTCCGTTCTCAAATCTGTTCTTAGAGGAATGATTCTGCATCTCCACTTGCCATACACATATACTTCTGCATCTGTTTGGCCCTCTTAAAACGTTTGAGTGTGATGACAGATGGAGTTGTCTGGGTACATTTATGTGTATTTGCCTATGTGCAATAATGTATTTGCTCTTCAAGGGCTGAGTGTTTGAGCCTCTGTTGTGTGTAATTAAGTGTGCATGTGTGTGAATAAAATTATAAAATATGTATGTTTGTAGAACTGAGTGAAAATAAAATATTGTATAACTAGTGTGGCATGTGGAATCCTGTGTGCCTGTGAATGTGCAGATTTTTTTTTTTTTTTTAACTAAGCCACTTTAGATCGTGTCGCCTCCCCTCACTTCTGTGATTGATTTGGAGAGGCTAATGGTGCGTAAAAGCGCTGGTGAGATCTGGGGGCGCCTCCTAGGCTGACGTCAGAGAGAGAGTTTAAAAAGGGGGAGACGGTGGAGAGCGCACAAGCCGCTTCAGGAGTCGCGAGGTTCACAGCCTTCGCTGCTGCTTGCGGATCCGCACCAAGGGTGTGACCCACCGCTCTCCAGCTCGCTTCCCCGGCGCCGCCGAGATGCTGTCCTGCCGCCTCCAGTGCGCGCTGGCCGCGCTCTCCATCGTGCTGGCCCTGGGCGGTGTCACGGGCGCGCCCTCGGACCCCAGACTCCGTCAGTTTCTGCAGAAGTCCCTAGCTGCTGCCGCGGGGAAGCAGGTAACGAGACCCCCCTCGACGTCTTCTCTTGCCTCTCCTGATCCCCTAACCCTCCCTTAACCTGGCTCCTGCCCTCTCGGTTTTGACCCAAGAGGTGCTCAGTCCTCTAAAGAGTTTCGGTGTTTCTCTGGGTCTCTGTTAGAAAAACTTTCAAAGTCTAGAATCCCCTCTTACCTCTTTTTTATTTTTATTATTAATTTTTTTCCGGTCCGTGCACCCAGTCACAGTTCAGGTGAGTTCTTTGACATTCAAGGGAATTCTGAGACTTGGGGAGTTGCCTGAGCACGAAGAGAGGATGGCATCTGTCCCCGGTGCTGACCGTGGGGGTGCTGGCCCAGGTGCTGAAACGCAGACCTCTGAAGCTGCTAACTTGTCCCCCAGCCCCACCTGTTCCGTTTAATGAGATTAGGGGTAAGGGACACTCTACAGACAGTATGTTTGCGATTGTGAGAGGGCTCGTTTTTCACAATTTACTTAGTAAAAACGGTAAGAACAATTCCACTTTGTAGTTCTCGATATGGAAATTGAGTTAAACCGTCAGCGCATGCTTTATTTTTGCAGAACTGCTTTAATGACCTATTATTTCTGTGTGTGTGTGTGTGTGTGTGTGTGTATGTGTGTGTGTTAAGCCTACAAAAGCATAAAACTTGTAAAAATATTTGATTTTTGAAGACTTTTTGTGTAACTTGGTGATTATAGCAACTGCCCTTATTTTTATATATCCGTACTTGATTTTAAGTGTGACAAAAAGTGCACAACTATGAAAACTGGGTTTCGGGTGTGACAAAGTCTGTTTTCCAAACCAGGCTTTTTCATTTCTTCTTCTTCATTCTCCTCTTCCTCCTCCTCTTCCCTCTCTTTCCCTTTCCCTTCTTCCCTATACAGGAACTGGCCAAGTACTTCTTGGCAGAGCTGCTGTCTGAACCCAACCAGACGGAGAATGATGCCCTGGAACCTGAAGATTTGTCCCAGGCTGCTGAGCAGGATGAGATGAGGCTGGAGCTGCAGAGATCTGCTAACTCAAACCCGGCTATGGCACCCCGAGAACGCAAAGCTGGCTGCAAGAATTTCTTCTGGAAGACTTTCACATCCTGTTAGCTTTAATAAGTATTGTCTATATCAGACCTTTGATCCCTCCCTTCCAAATCCCATCTCTCTTCCCTAATCCCCCAAATCCTCAGCAAGGCCCTTGCGTTAAAAATTGAAGACTGTAAATATCAAATAAAATTATGGTGAGATTATGAAAAACAAGATTTTGATTTCTTATTGAGTATACATTTCTGTTCAACAATACATAATGAACTTGAGTGATGGTTTCAGTAAGATATTTGAAATACACTCTCCAATTCTCACAGATGTATATTTAAAATTCCCAGTGGCAATAAAGGTTATGACTCAAATCATAATTGTTATTATTTAGGTCATTTCAAACTGAAATTATTTCAAAAAACTGTGCATTTAGAGTTTAACCCAATGACAATTATTGAGAGAGGTAGACATAAACATCAATCACATACTAAATACACTTAAAATTATATGTTGGATTATTGAAATGAGTATGATTATATATGGGAAGGCAGCCTGAAATGTGCAACCATCCACAGGGCTGATAAGTAAAATATACAACATATAAAAAATGGAAAGGAAAAATCATTTAAAAGTTCAGGAAAGAAGCTGGCTTAAATAGATACAATCAAGTTCTGAGCCTTTAAAATTTCTTTCTAGCTTGTGAACATGTGTTTAGAGAAACACCATTGCTTTTATATCTTCTTTGACAATCCTCTCTGTAATTGAACAAGGCTAAATGACTACCTCTGTTTTAAAAGTAAGCTTCCAAAATTTTTTTCTCCGGGGGAAAGAGTGCTTTTATTATAAGAGTCCAGAATGGGAGTACTATGGATTGGAAGGAACATGTGTGTTTGGTCACCTCACTAAATGCTATGCTATATTGAAGGTATTGGAGTTCAAAATCATAATCATGGGATAATTTGAGGATACATCTTAAGTCTTCTTTTAACTTTATCTAAACAGGAGTCAAATAAAATGCAAAAATAATGCTCAATAAATAGTAGCTATTATTAGTAGTATTATAACAACATACTAAATGGTACCACTCAAGGCAGAGATAAAAACATTGCTAATTTAACTTAGAGACCTGGAATAGATGCCCTTTTGGGGATGTGTGCTGTAGCTATCAATTGTATTTCTGCATAGCTGCTGTGATAATAAACCAAATATAAATACGTAAACTCAGTATACATCCCCATTGTATGAACTTACTGATGGCAATGTATAAACATCTAAGAGGAACTTTATATATTGTAGAAAATATTTGTGTTAGATAATACACACTTTTAATATAAATATAAAAATATAAGTGGCTTAACAGAAGTTAATTCCCAAACAACTGGTCAAACAGGAGAAAAAAATCCAAGCCACTTTACTAATCGTTGTGAAAACAGCACACCATTTGATATTCTGATGCATCTTTTATTCACAAGACATTTTTGGGGGGAATTAATGCGTGTCCACTTAAGGGATCTGTCTGTGCTAAATGCCTTATGTACATCTGGTTACCAACCAACTCAGTGGAGTAATAGAATCACATTATTATAATTAAAGCATGAAAGAGAACACAGCTTAATTGTTTTCTACAGAGTGTATGAGTGCCAGGGGACTTTAGTTTTTAGTATCATCTTGAATTTTCAGTTCCCAATAGTAGTATGGGAAAAAATGGCAGGAATTATTAGTCACATGCTCACATATATGTTTACTCCTTATTGAAAATTTAAATTGAATGAAACATTTGAAAAAGGGTTGTTTATCCTCCAGCCTTAGTTTTCCTACCTCCATAAGCAGAGGGTTGCATTAGAAAGGGCACTCACTTCTCTCCCAGGTGTGACAGCTATTTGTGCTTTGACATCGACAATGGTGCCTGAGGAGTGCTGATTTGGGGCCATTTTAAATCTACAGAGTATAACTTTGTTCCATTTTGTTTTGTTTTAAATATACAGAAGGTCTTACTTTTTTACTTCCTATTTAATTCATCTGAGTTTCTCCTAATTTTGATTCAGCAAAAGAATCTAGCATTCCAGCCTATTTATTGTCTAGCCAGAACAAACCTTTCAGATATTTTCCTTCTTCCCTGCCACAACCACATGCTTTAGCAATCCTGAACAACCTGTTATTTCTTTTCATGGGAGAGCTTGCACAGGTATTCTTCTTTTCTGGGTCTTAGTTTCCCCATGTGAAAATAAGCATACAATAGAACTAAACCCCGTGAATTATGAGGATTCACTGAGACCATGTATTTAAAGTTCTTAGTACAGGGTAAACAGTTGCTAAGTGTCACATGTTATGGTGTTAATTTTGTTCTCACATGCGGTGTGCTTTCCAGCCTCTTTTACTTTGTCTTCTCTATTTCTTGTCATTGCCACAAGCCCTACCTAACTGAGCCTTCAAGACCCATTCTTTTTATACTTCTTGCTCCACAAAATTCTTGCTTCATGCTCTCAACTGGAATATCTGCCTTCTCTGAGGACTTAATCTGTGTCTCTTCTGTGATGCTTATTTGTATTTTCTTACCATATATTATAGTTGTATAAGTGTATGTAAGAGTGAGTGTTTGTGTGTGAGCTTTCTTTGAATAGATACATGTATGATTCATATGACGGTTCATTTAAAGAATGAATGAATGAACTATGAACTTACACAGTCAAGTGAAACATATCTCTGTCTTCTAGATAATAACATTCTTCCTTAATTCTTTGCACAGGAAAATAACATTAGTAGCTATTCTATGTAATGCTAGTGTGACACCAGAAAGATATAGCACATGGTTATAATTTTTTTTGAATTTTTATTTTGTTGATATACAATGTGGTTGATTATTATGGCCCATCACTGAAACCTCCCTCCCCCTCCCTCTCACATGGTTATAATTTTTTTTGAATTTTTATTTTGTTGATATACAATGTGGTTGGTTATTATGGCCCATCACTGAAACCTCCCTCCCCCTCCCTCTCACATGGTTATAATTTTTTTTGAATTTTTATTTTGTTGATATACAATGTGGTTGATTATTATGGCCCATCACTGAAACCTCCCTCCCCCTCCCTCTCACATGGTTATAATTTTAATAACCATTGAAGTATGTGGTTAGCAGACTCACTTATTTTCAAAGCTTCGAGCAGTCCAGTTTTCTTTAACCATCATACAAAGTCCCTAATAAGGCCAGCTTAACTGCCCACCAACCATGAAGCTTACGGTTATAGAGAATCAAATTCACTAACATTTTTCTCATGTTAGTTTATTTTGAAATCATGCAGATCCTTTTTTTTATCCTAATGCAGGACCAGCTTTCTCGGCCATGGCTCAAACTATACTCAGTATACAGACAGTTCTGTTTTATGGTGACATGAACTATGCCCTTAACTCTGAATATCCAACATGGAAGGGGGCTCAGATATTATCTTGACCTCATCAATCATTTTATTAAAAGATGACATGGAGCAGTTACCTGCTGAAGACAACATAGTAGTCTGATGCAGAGCTTGGACACAGCCCAGGTTTCCCCTCTCCTACCTTGGGGTTATTTTGACTATACTACACTGCCCCTCAAGGAATCTGCCCTTCTAGATAACTGGTGTGTTACTTTAGTCTGATGTGAATACTAATTTTGTTCCTGGATCTTCCTTACCTACCACTGAACCACTGGTCTGCTTCTGAGAAGGAACAAGACAATTGGTACAAAATAACTTCCTGTGGTTATAGAAAGGCATTAGGAATAAATGGTAAAGACATTGATTAAGAGGGAAAGAAACTCAGGGAGACAACCTTTCACTAAATTAGACTCAAGAGGCAAAGAATGATTCTGTCTTGGAGTGGAGGCACAGGGGCTTCCTCAGAAAGCAGGTGGATATTTAAAATAAGAAGATGGCATTATGCCTGGAGACGTGGCCTTCAAAGAAATCATGATCCACCTCCACAGGGCTCAGGAGCAAGCATCTCAGGGATAACCTCCAGCTCTTCAGTAAGTGAGAATGAGTGCTTTAATTCCAGGTGTTCTTTTTTTTTTATTACCTGTCAGTTTCAAGGACTTGCTGGAAACTTGGAAACAAAGTTTGTATAATAAGGTCTCTGTTTTCAGGGAACTGAGTCTTTCAGAGAAGACACATTCATTAAAAACAACCAAATGCGATAATGCAGGTTTGCATGAGAAGAGAGCAGTCAGCACCTCCCCCTCTTCTCTTTCCTCTAAACTGTGCTTTTTATTAGTTTTTAATTATGGTTTGAACATCTAAGTAATTTTATTCTGGGTGGAATTAATAGGTTATAGGTATAATAATATAGTATACACTTTCATAACATAATCTACGTTAGCTTGAAAAGTGTTAATATTCTCTTTTGTATATAAAGAGACTGAGAATCAGAGAGATTAAGTAACTTGCCAAAGATGTCCCCAGCTAATTAGAGGTAGAGTTGGAACCAGGTCAACTGATTTCCAATCCAGTGCTCTTCCCACTGTATCTTAAGGGAAAGAAGGGAGTTAAAGGAAAATTGTAACTTGCTGGGCAAATTAAGAACACATCAGCTCCAGACTGTCTTAACTTAGCTCTTCTATATATAATACAAATGGGTATTACTATTCAATTATTGTTAGAGGAGAATGGGATTTAGCCTCTGGAACTGGGATTTGTTTTGTGACTTTATTAGGGGCACTATTTCCAAGGAACTGTTTGTAATCTTTCTTTTCACATGTTCAGCATCATAGCTTTAGCTTTGCTAAATGAATTAATCAGGAAGCAGAGAGAGAAAGAAATAGTAAAATTAATGACCTCAGGTATTAAGCACTCCTTTTCCCACTCACTCTTTCTTACACAGGTTTTAGTACAACCCAGGCAGCAGGCATGTTTAACTTGAAGCAATTACAGATCTACTGGTCACAGTCATTAGTGCATCGGCCATGGCGAGCTATTTATTATTTTTTTTATTTTTATTTTTTGTTTTACACCTCTACTGCTTGTATGATAAGCATACTTGTCGCTGGTTTTTAAGCACCAACACTTGGCCTCTGACACCCTCACTTATGATTGGGTAGTGGCCATGTCTTCCACCCTCTGGCCTTGTAAGTATATCCTGTGAAAAGCTGTCCTGAGGCTGAGATTTGGGGACTTGAGGATTTTCTTTGAAATGTATAAATGAGGTCAACTTTTACATAAGTAAGCATTTATGCTACTGAAATTAATATA